GCATGCTATGTTGTAGCTGTATGGTAGTGCATGGCCCTGTGGGGTACTTCATGGCATGTGTCGCTTTACTGACAGTCTGCTTTCTTATGTTTAGTTCTGTCATGTCTTATATTATGTTCATGATTTTGTACATGTGTATCTACTCTTTAACATTTATAAACCTTAGAATTACAAAAAAAGGGGAAGGAAACTACCGCTATAATATATCTGAAGCGAGTCTTCCATGCTTACTAAGGTGAACTGGGCTAAAGAATTCAATGCCTGTTTAGAATTTGCTTTTTACCTAAAAATCTCTATAATGGGAGATGAGAAAATGATTATTTGTGGTTTATGGTTTGTTATACACGGTTACATATTTCGTACAAGAATGTCTGTGACTAATCTTCCTGTGTTTACTTTGAATATAACAAATACTGAGATTGTATTTGGTTTCTTAGATATTGTCAGCTGTACACATATAATAAAATATTTTCCTTTAGTTTTGTATTAGTCAGGTCGTACATAATCGCAGTTGCTTATCTGCAACAACGTCTTTTGTTACTTTTAAGTTACAGTTTCCTTTTTTAAACTGCATGTCATAAAATATATAATCATGTGTGCTTTGCAGTAAAAAAGAAAGGTAAAAAGTGAGTTAAATACTCGGATCATTAGACTTTATATTTTCTTTTTTTTCCCTAAGCAACTGTTTGAAGTGAACCTTTTTAACACTTTGTTAACATTTTAGTGTGCACATTGCTGCAGGTTACAGTTGTGTGACATTTCTCAGCCATGTTGTAGACCATTGCTCTAAGAGGTCGGAGATAAAACTCCTCAGTGTTAAATGAATGCTGTAAGGATTCTGAAATGTTTTATTCTTATAGTTGACAATGCGTGCAGTTTTGAAGTGAATGCTTGCAAATAGGAAAATGTTACGCATGTATAATATGATACTTGTTTAGAAATGGAAAGGAAAATAAGAGAAAGTCTTACAATAAAATTGGGGAGGGGGGGGGGGGGTGTTTATAACCAATCTTGACAGAAATATTTTGTGGCATGTGAGAGGTAAGGTAACTTGTGAATGGCTTTAGAGTTGTCGGGATGACACTTTATGTGAATCAGCAACCAAATGTCTGTATGGCAACGCGGGAAAGTAGCTGGATATTGAAGCTCTTGGCCTTTGAGTCTTGATGAGCATCACTGAAGTCTTTCCAAATCATGAAATTATGGAGTATTGAGCCTCATATTTTCTGGTAATAAAGTCAGTCAATGAACATTTACTTTACGAAGGCAATGGCTGAGGTTAATTAAATAACACTAGTGCCATAGTGTTGTATGGATTTTTTTGGGAACTGTTTCGTGCAGCATGTGTACATCAGGGAAATCGTAATCAGCTAATGTATCCCCTTCAAAAATTGTTCACAACTCTCAACTCACCCTCTCAGTCACCAGTTCCAGTTTGAAAAACAAGCATTGTTCTTGCTTCTAAAGTTTGATCTTGTGTTTTAGCTCTGTACTGACCATTTGCTTACATTGTTCCCCTCTCTTTTGGCAGTTAAATAAATCTTTGCAGCTACCCAAAGCTACCCAAAGCTAAACAGTGTGGCGTAACTTGTCTTTTGAGAGTTACATTATAATTTTTGAAACGGCTACCATGCTTTGATTGGGATGTTTTTATGGAGGTGCATCAGTTTATGTGTAGCTGAAAATTTGTCTTTGCTGTATTTTTGCTTTCAATCGAGTTATAAGAACGGACATTACATTTGGATGTGTACTGCGGAACATAAAACACTTCTTCAGCTGCTGTAGAATTCTAGGCTTTTCTTTTGGAGATGGAAAGAGAATAGCTATTTGTGTGAATCATTTTTCATCCATGCATGTAAAGTGAGACGAGGGTGAAGTAAACATTTAGATCTCACGATAGAAATTCTTTTCTTTTTTTATATTTAGGTTGTCTTTACTCTTTCACTGACTGCATTTAACCAAAGGCCCTGTTGAGAATAAAATTACTTCTCACCTCTTAACAACTTCTGAACATGTGTCAACAAAATATTTCTTACTGGGCTAGAGGTCTCTCCTTTACCTCACCGAATATACTTTTCGAAGACTTTGTTTAGCAAGGTTATTAGCAAGAATTTATTTCTCTGGGAGATGAGCTGCCTGAAATGAGAAGAAAATCTGACAACTATTTAGTTGTTAAATGGTTGTGAATGAAGGTGACGTTTTAAATGTCCTTCCTGGAAGATCATTAGCTTGTAGTTCTTTGACATTTAAATTAAAGTTCGAGGGAATGCGATAAATCATGGCGATTCTCCCCACCTGTGCACCAGGCCTCCCATAATATCATATACAGTTTTTACACTAGAATTATTAATAATACACAGTGGTGGATAGGTAAGTCGAGTTTCTATTTGCAGTTCTGCTTTTGTTTTTGTTTTGCTTTAGTTTTGTTTAAATATTTTTAATGAGTTTTTCTTAGCTTTCACATCTGCGAGTTTGTGAGCGTGTCATTGATATTGACCGGAAAGCAGCGATTAAGGGAAAAAAAAAGAAAAAAGCATTCCAATATGGCTGTTTCGAACTATGTATAATAATTTTAGGGGTATTTTTTTGTTTTTGTTTTTGTTCGGTTTTTTTT